CTCTGGCCTGGGAGAGTGGGGACTACGGTGGTGGTTGAATATCTTGGTCTCTCAGGAGGTTTTGGTGTTGCACAGACTTCTGGACCATGGACAGGCATCCCTAGAGGATGTGGATGCTGTGGGTGAGGGCAAATCTTCAGACAACCTCTGAGGATTATCTGACTGTGAAACAAAGGAAACCAGCAGATTCTAAATTGTCAAATTTAGTGACAGTGGGGCCATAAATGCCTAAATACAGTGGTCTGTTTCAAAATTAAACTGTGCAACACCAGTGGACCACCTAGTGCCGGATGGGTATGTGGGGGGTGAAAATGTGTCTGTGCCTGTTTAGAGATCGGGGAGGAGTTGTGGGTCCCCACATAGCCTGCTGAGGGGAAATGTATGAGCATGAGAGGAACCAGGTTTAAAGCTGGCTTGGCTGATGCATATGTTGTGAGACCAAGGAAAAGCCCTTTCTCTGTGATGGTGGCCTGCAATTATATGTCCTGGCCTCATTATATTGGACTGGCCTACAGAACCTGGGTCCTCATCTCGGCTTTGGGGTTTGTTCAAGGGAAGCCATGTTTGTTACTGGAACTCTCTGTTTGCTGGTATAGTGCACAAATTTTGCATAGCCATCTAGACTGGGAGAATGGAAACATGGCCTGTGAAGGCAGTTCTGGGATCCTCAATTTGATGAAGTGGATTTCAGGATAAGGGTGATCTGTGAGACCTGGAACTACAAGATTATATGAGGAGATGTGGACACATGGATCGCACTGCTCATAGTCTGTGTGCCTGGTGAACTGTGCCATCCAGGCTAAGGGCATGAGCCAATGTTGGAAGTTAGGTATCTAGCAAACTCCTAAGTTGAACTGGTATGAAGTCTTTGTGACCCACCCTTTCCTTGAAATCCCCACATTATTGGTTGACTGTGGCTCATAAGGCCTATGTCCTCATCAAGAGACTGGGAGAGTTGGAACTACAATGATGGTTAAATATCTTGGTAACTCAGGAGGCGTTGGTTTTGCACAGACTTCTGGACCATAGATAGGCATGCCTAGAGGATGTGGATGCAATGGTGAGGGCAAGGCTTCAGAAAACATCTGAGGATGGTTTGACTAGGAACAATAAGATCCCAAGAATTTCAAAATGATTCAGATTTGTGGAGGAGAACCAAAATGCCCAAACTAAGTGGTCAAGTTCAAAAACCAGTGCAACACTAGTCGGCCACCTAGTGACATACAGGGAAATGGAGGATTAAAACATGTCTGTGCCTGTTTTGGGTTTGGGGATGATTTGTGGGTCCCCACACAGCCTACTAAGGGGGGAATGAATGAGCATGAGAGGAAGCAGGTTCAAATCTGGCTTGGCTGATGCACATGTAGTGAGACCAAGGAAAGGCCCTGCCCTGTGCTGGTGGCCTGCAATCATGTGTCCTGGTCTCATCATATTGGACTGGCCTACAGAACCTGGGTCCTCAGCTCTGCTTTGTGTTCTGTTCAGGGGAAGCCATGTTTGTGGCTAGAGTTTTCACCTTGCTGTTCTAGTGCACAAGGCATGCATATCCATCTAGACTGGGAGAATGGGAACATGACCTGTGAAGAAAGTTCTGGCACCCTCATTTTCTTGGAATGAATCTCAGGGTCAGATGATCTGTCAGACCTGGAACGATGGGATTATATGAGGAAATGTGGACACATGGATCTCACTGCTCATAGCCTAAATGTCTGGTGAACTGTGCCAGCTAGGCCTAAGAGCGTGAGCCACTTTAGGAAATTATTTATCCAGAAAACTCCAAGGCTAAGCTGGGATGAAGTCTCTGTGACACCAGCCTTTCCTTAAAATCCCCACATCGTAGGTTGACTGCATATAAGGCAGTTACAGACAGGATTTTGTATAGTCTTTTTGAAGCCATAAACATGTGTGGTATACTCACCCTGTAACAAAGCCAAAGCAGGAACGGGAATCCTTGAAATGCTGGAAGTTAGACTACAAGATTCCAGCTTGGCCTAGGAGTTAGGCTAGTGGAAGAGTCGAGGAGATATTGGCCCCTCTCAGGACTCTGCTGGTATGCAGAATACATGTACATGGTTTTTATGTAACAGAGACTGAGAAATCATGTGATCTGGACACTCACCTGACTCGGTGCTGTGAAATCCTACAGAGCCCTTTTATGGCAGTTGATGTCAAACAGTGGGAAGCAACCCTCGCAAAGACCATCTGCAGCAGAGATATGACTGGTACAATACATAGCACCAGAAAAATTTCAGTTAGCATATGTCTGTTCAGATTCATAACAACCACAAAATTGTAGTTAGGATGACTCAATGAAAATAATTTTATGACTGGTGGTCACCAGAACATGAGAAACTTTGCTAAAGGGTCGCAGCAGTCGAAGGGTTGGAACCCACTGTCTTTAGTTCTTTATGAAGTAGGTAGATTACAAACTGGAATGCTTTGTATGAATAAAAGTGTAAGGCCAATGCCTTCATCAAGGTCCCCTGTTTAGGGGAGAAGGCATGAGCATGAGAGGAACCAGGTTTAAAACTGGCCTGCATGAGCGCATGATGTGAGACCAGAGAAAGGCTCTGCCCTGTGCTGGTGGCCTGCAAACATATGTCCTGGTCTCATTATATTAGACTGGCCTACAGAACCTGGGTCCTCATGTCTGCTTTGTGTTGTTTTCAGGGGAAGCCATGTTTGTTACTGGAAATCGCCCCTTGCTAGTCTAGTGAACATGGTGCTCATAGCCATCTGGACTGGGAGAATGGGATCATGTCCAGTGAAGGCAATTCTGGGATACTCACCTTGTTGGAATGGATCTCAGGAAAAGTGTGATCTGTGAGAACTGGAACGATGCGATTATATGAGGAGATGTGGACACATGGATCTCACTGCTCATTGCCTGAATGTCTGGGGAACTGTGCCATCCAGGCCTAAGAGCGTGAGCCAGTGTAGGAAGTTGTGTATCTAGCAAACTCCTAGGCTGAGCTGGTATGAAGTCTGTGTGACAGCAGGCTTTCCTTGACATCCCCACATTATAGGTTGACTGTGGCTCATAAGGCCGTTACAGGACAGGATTTTACATAGTCCATTTGAAGCCACCAACATGTGTGGTATACTCACCCTGTAACAAAACCAAAGCAAGGGTGAGAATCCTCGAAATGCAGGCATATAGACCACAAGATTCTGGCTTGGCCTAGGAGTTTAGGCTAGTGGCAGACTGAGAGGATAATGGACAATCTCAGGACTCTGCTGGTGAGCAGAATACATGTACATGGTATATTGGTAACAGAGACGGAGAAATCATGGGATCTGGACACTCACCTGACTCAATGCTGTGAAACCATACAGAGCCCTTTTTATGACAGTTGTTGTCAAACAGTGGGAATCAACCCTCCCAGTGACAATCTGAAGCAAAGATATGTCTGGTACAAATCATAGTACCAGCAAAATCGAAATTAGGATTTGTCTGTTAGAATTCATAGCACCTGTAAAACTGCAGTGAGTACATCCCAATGAAAAAAATTTTATGGCTGGTGGTCACTAGAACATGAGAAACTTTGCTAAAGGGTCACAGCATGAGGAGGGTTGAAAGCCACTGTGTTAGGTACATCATGTAGTAGGTGCTTTTATTTGCTGTAATGCTCTCCATGAATTGAAAATGTAAGGCCTATGTCCTCATCAAGGTCTCTGTACTGGGAGAGTAGGGCCAACGACAATGGTTAAATATCTTTGTCACACAGGAGGCATTGGTTTTGCACAGATTTCTGGACCATGGACAGGCATCCCTTGAGTATGTGGATGCCATGGGTGAGGACAAGGCTTCAGACAACCTCTGAAGATGGTCTGAATGGTAAAAATAGGATCCCCAGGTAATTCTAAATGATTCAAATTTGTGGATGAGAACCAAAATGCCCCAACTAAGTGGTCAAGTTCAAAAAACTGTGCAACACCAGTTGGCCACCTAGTGTCAGAAAGGGAAATGGAGGACTAAAACATGTCTGTGCCTGTTTTGGGTTGGGGGATGATTTGTCGGTCCCCACACAGCCTACTGAGGAGAGAATTCATGAGCATGAGAGGAACCAGGTTCAAATCTGGCTTGGCTGATGCACATGTTGTGAGACCAAAGAAAGGCCCTGCCCTGTGCTGGTGGCCTGCAATCATGTGTCCTGGGCTCATTATATTGGACTAGCCTACAGAACCTGGGTCCTCAGCTCAGCTATGTGTTGTGTTCAAGGGAAGCCATGTTTGGTACTGGTACTCTCTTCCCTTGCTGGTCTTGTCCATATAGCGGTACATAACCATCCAGACTGAGAAAATAAGAACATGGCCTGTGAAGGAAGTTCTGGGATACTCACCTTGCTGGAATGGATCCCAGGATCACGGTGATCTATGAGACCTGGGACCACGGAATTATATGAGGAGATGTGGACACAAGGATATCACTGCTCATACATAGCCTGGGTGCCTGCTGAACTGTACCAGCCAGGCCTAAGAGTGCGAGCCAGTATGAAGTTGTGTTTCCAAAAAGCTCCAAGGCTAGCTGGTATGAAGTCTGTGTGAAACCAGCCTGTCCTTGAAATCTCACGTTTTAAGATGACTTGGCTCATAAGGAAGTTAAAGGACATAAACTTGCATAGTCCTTTTGAAGCCACAAATATGTGTGGTATACTCACCTTGTAACAAAACCAAAGCAGGGATGAGAATCCTTGAAATGCTGCTATATAGACTACAAGATTCCAGCTTGGCCTAGGAGTTTAGGCTAGTGGCAGACTGAGAGGATAATGGACAATCTCAGGACTCTGCTGGTGAGCAGAATACATGTACATGGTGTATCTGTAACAGAGACGGACAAATTATGGGATCTGGACATTCACCTGACTCAGTGCTGTGAAATCCTACAGAGCGCTTTTATGGCAGTTGTTGTCAAACAGTGGGAATCAACCCACCCAAAGACCATCTGCAGCAAAGACATGTCTGTGACAATTCATAGCACCAACAAAATTTCAGTAAGGATATGTCGCTTATGATTCATAACATCTGCAAATTTGTACTAAAGCCTTTCCAATGAAAATAATTTTACGGACGGTGGTCACCAGAACATGAGAAACTTTGCTAAAGGGTCGCAGCATAAGGAGGGTTGAAAGCCACTGTCTTTGGTACATCATGCAGTAGGTGCTTGAATACAGTGGAATGCTCTCTGGGAATTGAAAATGTAAGGCCTATGTCCTCATCAAGATCTCTGTACTGGGAGGGTTGGGACTACAATGATGGTTGAATATCTTGGTTACTCAGGAGGCATTGGATTTGCATAGTCTTCTCGGTCATAGACAGACATCTCTAGAGGTTGTGGTTGCCATGGGTGAGGCCAAGGCTTCAGACAACATCTAAAGATGGTCTGACTGGGATCCATAGGATCCCAGGTAATTCTAAATGAGTCAAATTTGTGGATGAGAACCAAAATGCCCCAACTAAGTGGTCAAGTTCAAAAAACTGTGCAACACCAGTCGGCCACCTAGTGTCAGAAAGGGAAATGGAGGACTAAAACATGTCTGTTCCTTTTTTGGGTTGGGGATTGTTTTGTGGGTACACAAACAGCCTACTGAGGGGAGAATTCATGAGCATGAGAGGAACCAGGTTCAAATCTGGCTTGGCTGATGCACATGTTGTGAGACTGGCCTACAGAACCTGGGTCCTCAGCTCTGATTTGTATTCTGCCATGTTTATGACTAGAGTTCTCCCCTTGCTCTTCAAGTACACAAGGTGTGCATAACCATCTAGACTGTGGGAATGGGAACTTGGCCTCTGAAGGCAGTACTTGGGTACTCACCTTGCTGGAATGAATCTCAGGGTCAGGGTAATCTGTGAGATATGAAACAATGGGAGTATATGAGGAAATGTGGACATACGGAACTCACTGCTCATAGCCTGAATGTCTGGTGAACTGTGCCAGCTAGGCCTAAGACCATGAGCCAGTGTAGGAAGTTATGTATCCAGAAAACTCCAAGGCTGAGTTGGAATGAAGTCTGTGTGACACCAGCCTTTCCTTAAAATCCCCACATTGTATGTTGACTGTGGCATATGAGGCCGTTACAGACAGGATTTTGTATAGTCTTTTTGAAGACATAAGCATGTGTGATATACTCACCATGTAACAAAACCAAAGCAGGGACGAGAATCCTTGAAATGTTGCTATATAGACTACAAGATTCTAGCTTGGCCTAGGAGTTTAGTCTAGTGGAGGACTCGAGGAGATATTGGTCCCTCTCAGTACTCTGATGGAATGTAGAAAAAAATCTACATGGAGAATGTGTAACAGAGACTGAGAAATCATGGGATCTGGACACACACCTGGCTCAGTGCTGTGAAATCCTACAGAGCCCTTTTATGGCAGTTGTTGTCAAACAGTGGGAACTAACCCCCGCAAAGACCATCAGCAGCAGAGATATGTCTGGTACAATACATAGCACCAGAAAAATTTCAGTTAGCATATGACTACTCAGATTCATAACAACCACAAAATTGTAGTTAAGATGTCTCATTGAAAATAATTTTATGGCCTTTGGTCTCCAGAACATGAGAAACTTTGATAAAGGGTCGCAGCAAGAGGAGGGTTGGAACCCACAGTCCTTAGTTCTTAATGAAGTAGGTGGTCTGTTTCAAAATTAAACTGTGCAACACCAGTGGACCACCTAGTGCCGGATGGGTATGTGGGGGGTGAAAATGTGTCTGTGCATGTTTTGGGATTCAGGATTAGTTGTGAATCTCTGCACAGCCTGTTTATGGAAAATACATGAGCATGAGAGGAACCAGGTTAAAACTGGCTAGGCTGATGCATATGTTGTGAGAACAAGGAAAGGCCCTGCCCTGTGCTGGTGGCCTGCAAACATATGTCCTGGTCTCCTTTATATTGGACTGGCCTACAGAACCTGGGTCCTCAGCTGTGTTTTGTGTTGTGTTCATGGGAACACATGTTAGTTACTGGAAATCTCCCTTTGCTGGTATACTGCACAAATTTTGCGTAGCCATCTAGACTGGGAAAATGGAAATGTGGCCTAGGAAGGCAGTCTGAGATGAAGTGTATCTCAGGATAAGCGTGATCTCTGAGAAACGGGAGGGATTATATGAGGAGATGTGAACACATGGATCTCAGTGCTCATGGGCTGAGTGCCTGATGAACTGTGCCATCCAGGCCTAAGAGCGTGAGCCAGTGTAGGAAGTTGTGTATCTAGCAAACTCCTAGACTGAGCTGGTATGAGGACTGTGTGACATCAGGCTTTCCTTGAAATCCCCACATTGAAGGGTAACTGTGGCACATAAGGCGATTAGAGGACCGATTTTTACAAAGTCCATTTGAAGCCAAAAACATGTGTGGTATACTGACCCTGTAAAAAACCAAACCAGCGACGAGAATAGTCAAAATGCTAGAATATAGTCTCCATGATTCCAGCTTGGCCTAGGACTTTACGCTATTTGGGAGTCGAGGCGATATTGGTCCCACTCAGTACTCTGATGGTACGTAGAAAAAAACTACCTGGAGTATGTGTAACAGAGACTGAGAAATCATGGGATCTAGACACTCACCTGGCTCGGTGCTCTGAAATCATACTGAGCTTTTTTATGGCAGTTGTTGTCAACCAGGAAGAATCAACCCTCCCAATGACAATCTTCAGCAAAGACATGTCTGTGACAATTCATAGCACCAACAAAATTGCAGTTAGGATATGTCTGTTATGATTCATACCATCTGCAAAGTTTCACTACGGCCTTTCCAATGAAAATAGTTTTAGGGCGGGTGGTTACCATAAAATGAGAAACTTTGCTAAAGGGTCGCAACAGAAGAAGGGTTTAAACCCACTGTCTTTGGTTCTTTATGAAGTAGGTGGATTACAGACTGGAACGCTTTCTATGAATAAAAGTGTAAGCCCGATGCCTTCATCAAGGTCTCTGGCCTAGGAGACTAGGGACTACGGTGGTGGTTGAATATCTTTGTCACTCAGGAGGTTTTGGTGTTGCACAGACTTCTATATCATAGTCAGGCATCCCTAGAGGATGTGGATGCTATGGGTGAGAGCAAATCTTCAGACAACCTCTGAGGATTGTCTGACCATGAAACAAAGGAAACCAGCTGATTCTAAATTGTCAAATTTAGTGACAGTGGGGCCATAAATGCCTAAATACAGTGGTCTGTTTCAAAATTAAACTGTGCAACACCAGTGGACCACCTAGTGCCGGATGGGTATGTGGGGGTTAAAATGTGTCTGTGCCTGTTTGGGGATTCGGTAGGAATTTTGGGTCCCCTAACAGCCTGTAGAGGGGAGAATGCATGAGCATGAGAGAAACCAGGTTTAAAACTGGCCTGCATGAGCACATGATGTGAGACCAGAGAAAGGCTCCGCCCTGTGCTGGTGGCCTGCAAACATATGTCCTGGTCTCATTATATTGGACTGGCCTACAGAACCTGGGTCTTCAGCTGTGTTTTGTGTTGTGTTCATGGGAACACATGTTAATTACTGGAAATCTCCCTTTGCTGGTCTACTGCACAAATTTTGCATAGCCATCTAGCATGGGAGAATGGAAATGTGGCCTAGGAAGGCAGTCTGAGATGAAGTGTATCTCAGGATAAGCGTGATCTGTGAGAAACGGGAGGGATTATATGAGGAGATGTGAACACATGGATCTCACTGCTCATGGGCTGAGTGCCTGATGAACTGTGCCATCCAGGCCTTAGAGCGTGAGCCAGTGTAGGAAGTTGTGTATCTAGCAAACTCCTAGACTGAGCTGGTATGAGGACTGTGTGACATCAGGCTTTCCTTGAAATCCCCACATTGTAGGGTAACTGTGGCCCATAAGGCCATTACAGGATTGAATTTTAGAAAGTCCTTTGAAGCCACCAACACGTGTGGTATACTGACCCTGTAAAAAACCAAAGCAGGGACAAGAATAATCAAAATGCTAGAACATAGTCTCCATGATTCCAGCTTGGCCTAGGACTTTATGCTATTGGGGAGCCGAGGCGATATTGGTCCCACTCAGTACTCTGATGGTATGTAGAAAAAATCTACCTGGAGTATGTGTAACAGAGACTGAGAAATCATGGGATCTAGACACTCACCTGGCTCCGTGCTATGAAATCATACTGAGTTTTTTATGGCTGTTGTTGTCAAACAGGGGGAATCAACCCTCCCAATGACAATCTTCAGCAAAGACATGTCTGTGACAATTCATAGCACCAACAAAATTGCAGTTAGGATATGTCTGTTATGATTCATACCATCTGCAAAATTTCACTACGGCCTTTCCAATGAAAATAGTTTTAGGGCTGGTGTTCATCAGAACATGAGAAACTTTGCTAAGGGTCGCAAAAGAAAGAGGGTTTAAACCCACTGTCTTTGGTTCTTTATGAATTAGGTGGATTACAGACTGGAACGCTTTCTATGAATAAAAGTGTAACCCGATGCCTTCATCAAGGTATCTGTCCTGGGAGAGTGGGGACTACGGTGGTGGTTGAATATCTTGGTCTCTCAGGAAGTTTTGGTGTTGCACAGACTTCTGTATCATAGTCAGGCATCCCTAGAGGATGTGGATGCTATGGGTGAGGGCAAATCTTCAGACAACCTCTGAGGATTGTCTGACTGTGAAACAAAGGAAACCAGCTGATTCCACATGGTCAAATTTAGTGACAGTGGGGCCATAAATGCCTAAATACAGTGGTCTGTTTCAAAATTAAACTGTGCAACACCAGTGGACCACCTAGTGCCGGATGGGCATGTGGGGGGTGAAAATGTGTCTGTGCCTGTTTGGGTATCGGGGAGGAACTGTGGGTCCCCTAACAGCCTGTAGAGGGGAGAATGCATGAGCATGAGAGGAACCAGGTTTAAAACTGGCCTGCATGAGCACATGATGTGAGACCAGAGAAAGGCTCTGCCCTGTGCTGGTGGCCTGCAAACATATGTCCTGGTCTCATTATATTGGACTGGCCTACAGAACCTGGGTCCTCAGCTGTGTTTTGTGTTGTGTTCATGGGAACACATGTTAGTTACTGGAAATCTCCCTTTGCTGGTCTACTGCACAAATTTTGCATAGCCATCTAGCATGGGAGAATGGAAATGTGGCCTAGGAAGGCAGTCTGAGATGAAGTGTATCTCAGGATAAGCGTGATCTGTGAGAAACGGGAGGGATTATATGAGGAGATGTGAACACATGGATCTCACTGCTCATGGGCTGAGTGCCTGATGAACTGTGCCATCCAGGCCTTAGAGCGTGAGCCAGTGTAGGAAGTTGTGTATCTAGCAAACTCCTAGACTGAGCTGGTATGAGAACTGTATGACATCAGGCTTTCCTTGAAATCCCCACATTGTAGGGTAACTGTGGCTCATAAGGCCATTACAGGATTGAATTTTACAAAGTTCTTTTGAAGCCACCAACACGTGTGATATACTCACCCTGTAAAACCCAAAGCAGGGACGAGAATAATCAAAATGCTAGAACATTGTCTCCATGATTCCAGCTTGGCCTAGGACTTTATGCTATTGGGGAGCCGAGGCGATATTGGTCCCACTCAGTACTCTGATGGTATGTAGAAAAAATCTACCTGGAGTATGTGTAACAGAGACTGAGAAATCATGGGGTCTAGACACTCACCTGGCTCGGTGCTCTGAAATCATACTGAGCTTTTTTATGGCAGTTGTTGTCAAACAGTGGGAAACAACCCTCCCAATGACAATCTTCAGCAAAGACATGTCTGTGACAATTCATAGCACCAACAAAATTGCAGTTAGGATATGTCTGTTATGATTCATACCATCTGCAAAATTTCACTACGGCCTTTCCAATGAAAATAGTTTTACGGCTGGTGGTCACCAGAACATGAGAAACTTTGCTAAGGGGTCGCAACAGAAGGAGGGTTGAAACCCACTGTCTTTGGTTCTTTATGAATTTGGTGGATTACAGACTTGAACGCTTTCTATGAATAAAAGTGTAAGCCTGATGCCTTCATCAAGGTATCTGTCCTGGGAGAGTGGGGACTACGGTGGTGGTTGAATATCTTTGTCTCTCAGGAAGTTTTGGTGTTGCACAGACTTCTGGACCATGGACAGGCATCCCTAGAGGATGTGGATGCTATGGGTGAGGGCAAATCTTCAGACAACCTCTGAGGATTGTCTGACTGTGAAACAAAGGAAACCAGCTGATTCTAAATGGTCAAATTTAGTGACAGTGGGGTCATAAATGCCTAAATACAGTGGTCTGTTTCAAAATTAAACTGTGCAACACCAGTGGACCACCTAGTGCCGGATGCGTATGTGGGGGGTGAAAATGTGTCTGTGCCTGTTTGGGGTTCAGGGAGGAGTTTTCAGTACCCACATAGCCTGCTGAGGTGAGAATGCATGAGCATGAGAGGAACCAGGTTTAAAACTGTCCTGGCTGAATATATGTTATGAAACTAAGGAAAGGCCCTGCGCTGTTCTCTTTTCTGCAAACATAAGTTCTGCTCTCATTTTATTTGACTGGCATACAGAAGCTTGGTCCTCAGCTCCGTGTTGTGTTGTGTTCAGGGGAAGTCATGTTTGTTAATGGAAATCTCCCATTGCTGGAATAGTGAACATGGTGTGCATAGCCATCTGGACTGGACGAATGGGATCATGTCCAGTGAAGGCAGTTCTGGGATACTCACCTTGCTGGAATGGATTCAGGGCCTGGGTGATCTGTGAGACCCTGAACGATGCGATTATATGTGGAAATGTGGTCACATGGATCTCACTGCTCATAGCCTGAATGTCTGGTGAACTGTGTCAGCTAGGCCTAAGAGCGTGAGCCATTGTAGGAAGTTATGTGTCCAGAAACCTCCAAGGCTGAGCTGGAATATATCTGTGTGAATCTGCCTTTCCTTAAAATCCCCACATTGTTCATTGACTGTGGCTCATAAGGCCGTTACAGACAGGATTTTTTATAGTCCTTTTGAAGCCATAAACATGTGTGGTATACTCACCCTGTAACAAAGCCAATGCGGGGATGAGAATCCTCCAAATGCTGGAATATAGACTACAAGATTCCAGCTTGGCCTAGGAGTTAGTCTAGTGGAGGACTCGAGGAGATATTGTTCCCTCTCAGGACTCTGATGTAATGTAGAAAAATCTACATGGAGTATGTGTAAAAGAGACTGAGAAATCATGGGGTCTGGACACTCACCTGGCTCGGTGCTGTGAAATCCTACAGAGCCCTTTTAAGGCAGTTGTTTTCAAACAGTGGGATGCAACCATCCCAAAGACCATTTGAAGCAACGTTATGTCTGTGACAATTCACAGCACCAGAAAAAAATCAGTTAGCATATTTCTGTTCAGATTCACAACAACCACAAATTGTAGTTAGTATGTCTCAATGAAAATAATTTTTTGAGTTTTGATCACCAGAACATGAGAAACTTTGCTAAAGGGTTGCAGCATGAGGAGGGTTAGAAGGTATTGTCTTTGCTTCGTTATGAAGTATGTGGTATAAAGGCTGGAATGCTCTGCATGAATAGAAATTGTATGTGAAATGCCTTCATCATGGTCTCTGTCCTGAGAAAGTGGGGACAACAGTGGTGGTCTCTCAAGAGGCTTTGGTCTTGTACATTCTTCTGTGCCATAGGTGGGCATCCCTAGAGGATGTGGATTCCTTGCTTGAGGGCAAAGCTTCTGAAAATATCTGAGGATGGCTTAATGTGAACCATAGGATCCTAGGTAATTCTATATGATTAAAATTTGGGGGTGAGAAGCAGAATGTCCCATTAACTGGTCAGGTTCAAAAATTGTGCAACACTTTTGGGCCACCTAGTGATGGACAGAGAAATGGAGGATGAAAATGTGTTTGTGCCTGTTTTGGGATGGGGGAGGTATTGTGGGTCCTCACAGAGCATGCTGAGGGGAGAATGCATGAACATGATAGGAACCAGGTTCAAATCTGGCTTGGCTGATGCACATGTTGTGAGACCAAGGAAAGACCCTGCCCTATGCTGGTGGCCTGCATTCATATGTCCTGGTCCCATGATACTGGACTGGCCTACAGAACCTGGTTCCTCAGCCCTGCTTTGTGTTGTGTTCAGGGGAAGCCATGTTAGTTACTGGAAATCTCCACTTGTTGGTCTAGTGTACAAGGTGTGCATGGCTATCTAGACTGGGAGAATGGAAACATGGCCTGTGAAGGCAGTTCTGAGATGAAGTGGATCTCAGGATAAGCATGATCTGTGAGAACTGGGACGATGGGATTATATGAGGAGATGCGGACACATAGATCTCACTGCTCATAGCCTGAGTGCCTGATGAACTGTGCCATCCAGGCCTAAGAGCGTGAGCCAGTGTAGGAAGTTGTGTTTCCAGAAAACTCCTAGGCTGAACTGGTATGAAATTTGTGCAATACCAGCTTTTCTTTAAAGTCTCACATTGAAGGTGGACTGTGGCACATAAGGCAGTTACAGGACATAAATTTGCATAGTCCTTTTGAAGCCATCAACATGTGTGGTATACTCATCCTATAACAAAACCAAAGAAGGGATGAGAATCCTCAAAATGCTGGCAGTTAAATTCCAATATTCCAGCTTGACTTAGGAGTTTACGGTAGTGGGTGAGTCATGAGGATATTGGTCCCTCTCAGGACTCTGCTTGTATGCAGAATACATGTACATGGTGTTTGTGTAACAGAGACTGAGAAATCATGGGACCTGGACACTCACCTGGCTAGGTGCTGTGAAATCCCACAAAGCCCTTTTATGGCAGTTGTTGTCAAACAGTGGGAATCAACCCTCCCAAAGACCATCTGCAGCAAAGACATGTCTGTGACAATTCATAGCACCAACAAAATTGCAGTTAAGATATGTCTGTTATGATTTATAGCATCAGCAAAATTGCGTTAAGGACTTTCCAATGAAAATAGTTTTATGGCTGGTGGTCACCAGAACATGAGAAACTTTGCTAAAGGGTCGCAACAGAAGGGTTTAAACCCACTGTCTTTGGTTCTTTATGAAGTAGGTGGATTACAGATTGGAACACTTTCTATGAATAAAAGTGTAAGCCCGATGCCTTCATCAAGGTCTCTGTCCTAGGAGAGTGGGGACTACGGTGGTGGTTGAATATCTTTGTCACTCAGGAGGTTTTGGTGTTGCACAGACTTCTGTATCATAGTCAGGCATGCCTAGAGGATGTGGATGCTATGGGTGAGGGCAAATCTTCAGACAACCTCTGAGGATTGTCTGACTGTGAAACAAAAGAAACCAGCTGATTCTAAATGGTCAAATTTAGTGACAGTGGGGCCATAAATGCCTAAATACAGTGGTCTGTTTCAAAATTAAACTGTGCAACACCAGTGAACCACCTAGTGCCGGATGGGTATGTAGGGGGTGAAAATGTGTCTGTGCCTGTTTGGGGATCAGGGAGGAGTTGTGGGTCCCCACACAGCCTGCTGAGGGGAGAATGAATGAGCATGTGTGGAACCAGGTTCAAATCTGGCTTGGTTGATGCACATGTTGTGAGACCAGAAAAGGCCATTTCCTGTGCTGGTGGCCTGCAATTATATGTCCTGGTCTCATCATATTGGACTGGCCTATAGAACCTGAGTCCTCAGCTCTTCTTTGTGTTGTGTTCAGGGGAAGTGATTTTTGTGACTAGAGCTCTCTTCTTGCTGGTCTAGTGCACATGGTGTGCATAGCCATCTAGACTTGGGAGAATGGAAACATGGCCTGTGAAGGCAGTTCTGGGATCCTCACTTTGATGAAGTGGATCTCAGGATAAGTGAGATCTGTGAGACCTGGAACTAGGGATTATATGAGGAGATTTGGACACCTGGATCTCACTGCTCATAGCCCGAGTGCCTGGTAAACTGTGCCAACCAGGCCTAAGAGTGTGAGCCAGTGTAGGAAGTTGTATATCTAGAAAACTTCTAGGCTGAGCTGGTATGAGGACTGTGTGACACCAGCCATTCCTTGAAATCCCCACATTGTAGGTTACTGTGGCTCATAAGGCCATTACAGGACAGGCTTTTTCATAGTCCTTTTGAAGCCATCAACACGTGTGATATACTCACCCTGTAACCAAACCAAAGCAGGGACAAGAATCCTTGAAATGCTGCTATATAGACTACAAGATTCCAGCTTGGCCTAGGAGTTTAGGCTAGTGGCAGACTGAGAGGATAATGGACAATCTCAGGACTCTGCTGGTGTGCAGAATACATGTACATGGTGTATCTGTAACTGAGACGGAGAAATCATGGGATCTGGACACGTACCTGACTCAGTGCTGTGAAATCCTACAGAGCCCTTTTATGGCAGTTGTTGTCAAACAGTGGGAATCAACCCTCCCAAAAACCATCTGCAGCAAAGACATGTCTGTGACAATTCATAGCACCAACAAAATTGCAGTAAGGATATGTCTGTTATGATTCATAGCAATTGCAAAATTGCGGTAAGGACTTTCCAATGAAAATAGTTTTATGGCTGGTGGTCATCAGAACATGAGAAACTTTGCTAAAGGGTCACAGCATGAGGAGGGTTGAAACCTACTGTCTTTAGTTCTTTATGAAGTAGGTGGATTACAGACTGGAACGCTTTCTATGAATAAAAGTGTAAGCCCAATGTCCTCATCAATGTCTCTCTCCTGGGAGAGGGCGGACAACGGTGGTGGTTGAATATCTTGGTCACTCAGGAGGTTTTGGTGTTGCACAGACTTCTGTATCATAGTCAGGCATGCCTAGAGGATGTGGATGCTATGGGTGAGAGCAAATCTTCAGAGAACCTCTGAGGATTGTCTGACTGTGAAACAAAGGAAACCAGCTGATTCTAAATGGTCAAATTTAGTGACAGTGGGGCCATAAATGCCTAAATACAGTGGTCTGTTTCAAAATTAAACTGTGCAACACCAGTGGACCTCCTAGAGCAGAATGGGTCTTTGGAGGATGAAAATGTGTCTCTGCCTCTTTTGGGATGAGGGAGGCATTGTGGGTCCCCACACAGTCTGTTGTGGGGAGAATGCATGAACATGAGAGGAACCAGGTTCAAATCTTGCTTGGCTGATGCACATGTTGTGAGACCAAGGAAAGGCCCTGCCCTGTGCTGTTGGCCTGTAATCATATGTCCTGGTCTCATCACATTGGACATGCCTACAGAACCTGGGTCCTCAGCTCTGTTTTGTGTGTTATTCAGGGGAAGCCATGTTTGTAACCAGAGCTCTTCCCTTGCTCGTCTAGTTCACATGTTGTGCGTAGCCATCCTGACTGGGAGAATGGGAACAAGGCCTTTGATGGCAGTTTGGCATCCTCAATTTGATGGAATAGATCACAGGATATTGGAAATCTGTGTAACCTGGGCTTATTGCACTGTGAGAAGGTGTGGGCATGTGGCACTCACTCTCATGGTTAGAATGAGCAAAAGTCATTTTTGTAGGCAAAAATGAATAGAGTACAGTTCAGCTACGTATAAGTGTGTGAGCCAATGTGAGAGGATCCATTAGTATAAGACTCCATGGCTAAGCTGGCATGCAGTCTATATGACAGCGGTACATTCTAGAAACTTCTATAAATTAGGGTGGCTGTGACATTTTTGACCATCACCCTGACAGTATTTTGCACAGTTCTTTGGTTCCACATACATTTGGGTAATGGTCCCATTCTAAGAATTCAGGACCGTAGGTGAGATTCCATGAGATGTATCCATGCAGACTCAAATATTCCAGCTTGAACCCGGAGTTTAAGGTAGTGGGATAATAACCGGCTTATTGATTCCTCTCTAGACTGTGCTGGTGTTCAGACTACATCAACTTAGTATCAAAGTAACTGATTGCCTAATCATGGGATCTGTACATTCACCTGGCTTGGTGCTATGAAATCCTATAGAGACCTTTTCTTAGGGCAGTTATACTCAACCTGTGGGAAGCCACTCTCCCAAAGACCATCTGAAGCAATGCAATTTATATGACAATTCATAACACCAGCAAAACTGATGTTAGGACGATCCAGTTAAAATGATTTTACTGTCTGTGTTCACCAGAACATGAGAAATTTTGCTAAATGGTCTCAACATGAGGAGGATTAAAACCCACTAGATTGTACATAGGTTAGGACCTGGGTTACTCTCCATGAATGGAAAGTGTAAGGTCTATGCCCACAGCAAGGTCTCTGTCCTAGTGAATGAGGTCAATAGTGGTGGACAGTTATTTGGGTCACACAGGAGGCTTTGGTGTTGCACAGGTTCCTGGACCATAGACAGGCATCCCGAGAGGATGTAGATGACATGGCTAAGGTTAAAGCTTCAGACAATGATTGAGGCCTGTCTGACTTGAAACCAAAGGATCCCAGCTTATTTCAAATGATTCAAATCTGAGAAAGGTGAGGACCAAAATGCCCCAACTCAATGGTAAGGTTCAAAACTGCAACACCAGCTGAGCCACCTAGTGAAGGATGCATACATGGAGGATGAAAATGTGTCTGGGTTTTGGTATGGGGGAGAATTGTGGGTCCCCACACAGCTTGCTGAGGGGAGAATGCATGAGCATGAGAGGAACCAGGTTTAAAACTGGCCTGCATGAGCACATGATGTGAGACCAGAGAAAGGCTCTGCCCTGTGCTGGTGGCCTGCAAACATTATATTGGACTGGCCTACAGAACCTGGGTCCTCATCTCTGCTTTGTGTTGTGTTCAGAGGAAGCCATGTTTGTTACTGGAACTCTCCCCTTGATGGTCTAGGGCACACGGTGTGCATAGCCATCTAGACTGGGAGAATGGGAACATGGCCTGTGAAGTCAGCTCTGGGATCCTCACTTTGCTGGAATGGATCTCAGGATAAGGGTGATCTGTGAGAACTGGGAGTAGGGGATTATATGAGGAGCTATGCACACACAGATTTCACTGCTCAGAGCCTGAATGCCTGGTGAACTGTGCCATCTAGGCCTAAGAGCATGAGCCAGTGTAGGAAGTTATGTATCCAGAAAATTCCAAGGCTGAGCTGGAATGAAGTCTATATGACACCAGCCTTTCCTTGAAGTCCCCACATTGAATGTTGACTGTGGCACATAAGGCCATTACAGGATAAGAGTTTGCATAGTCATTTTGAAACCACAAACATGTGTGGTAACGTCACACTGTAACAAAGCCAAAGCAGGGATGAGAATCCTCGAAATGCTGGCAGTTAGACTCCAAGATTTCAGCTTGGCCTAGGAGTTTACGCTAGTGGCAGAGTCGAGGGGATATTGGTCCCTCTCAGACCTCTTCTGGTGTGCAGAATACATGTACATGGAGTATGTTTAACAGAGACTGAGAAATCATGGGATCTGTACACTCACCTGGCTCGCTGCTGTGAAATCCTACAGAGCCCTTTTTATGACAATTTCTGTCAACCAGTGGGAAGCTACCCTCCCAAAGACCATCTGAAGTAAAGATATGTCTGGTATGAATCATAGCACCAGCAAAATTTCAGTTAGGATATGTCTGTTATGATTCATAACAACTGCAAAATTGTAGTTAGGATGTTTCAATGAAAGTTATTTTACAGTTGGTGGTCACCAGAACATGAGAAACTTTGCCAAAGGGTTGTAGCATGAGGAGGGTTGAAAGCCACTGTCTTTAGTTCTTTATGAAGTAGGTGGTTTACAGGCTGGAACGCTCTCTATGAATTGAAAGTGTAAGGCCTATGCCCTCCTCAAGTTCTCTGTCCTGGGAGAGTGGGGATAATGATGGTGGTTGAATTTCTTGGTCAATCCCGAAGCATTGGTGTGCACAAACTTCTGGACCACACACGAGCATCCCTAGAGGATGTGGATTTTATGGGTGAAGGCAAAGCTTCAAACAAACTCTGACGTTGGTCTTACTGGGATCCAAAGGATCCCAGGTGATATATGATTAAAATTTGGGGATGAGAGCCAAAATGCCCCCAACTAAGTGGTCAGGTTCAAAAAATTGTGCAACATCCTTGGGGTACCTCATGATGGACAGGGAAATGGGAGATGAAAATGTGTCTGGGAGGAGTTGTGGGTCCCCACACAGACTGCTGAGGGGAAAATGCATGAGCATGAGAGGAACCAGGTTTAAAGCTGGCTTGGCTGATACACATGTTGTGAGACCAAGGAAAGGTCCTGCCCTGTGCTAGTGGCCTGCAATCATGTGTCCTGGTCTCATCATACTGGACTGGCCTACAGAATCTGGGTCCTCAGCTCTGCTTTGTGTTGTGTTCAGAGGAAGCCATGTTTGTGACTAGAGCTTTCCACTTGTTGGTCTAGTGCACAAGGTGTGCATGGCTATCTAGACTGGGAGAATGGGAACATGACCTGTGAAGGCAGTTCTGGGATCTTCACCTTGCTGGAATGGATTGCACAATATGGGCCATCACTGACATCTGGGCCCATGGCACATTGATTAGCTGTGGACATGTGGCCCTCACTGCTTATGGCCTGAATGTCTAGAGCATAGCTCCATATAGATTTAAGGGTGTGAGCCAGTGTGGGAGGATCCATTACTAGAAAACTCTATGGTTGAGCTGGGATGCAATCTGTATGACAACAGCACTTGCTAGAAATCCCTATACAGTAAGTAGGGTGACTGTGGCATATTTGACAGTCACCCAGACAGGATTTTGCACAGTTTTTTTGGTTCCACAAACATGTGGGCTAAGGTCACATTCTAAGAAGTTTAGACCGTGGGCAAGAATCCACAAGATGCAGCCATGCAGACTTCAATATTCAAGCTTGGCCTAGGAGTTTAAGGTAGTCAGGGAGACACTGGCTTATTGGTCCCTCTCTTTACTATGTTGGTGTGCAAACTACATCAGCTTGGTGTCAAAGAGAATGATTGAGAAATCATGGGATCTTGACCCTCACATGGCTAGGTGCTCTGAAATCCTACAGAGACGTTTTCTTAGGGATATGTTCTCAACTTATGGGAAGCGACCCTCCTAATGACCATCTGAAGCAATGCAATGACTATTTACATGACAATTCATAACAGCAGCAAAACTGCAGTTAGGATGTACCAATGGAAATCATTTTACTCTCTGTGTTCACCAGAACACGAGAAATTTTGCTAAAGGGTAGCAGCATGAGGAGTGTTGAAACCCACTGTTTTATGGTCTTCATATAGTTGATAGGTTAGGGTCTGGGTCGTTTTCCGTGAATGGAAAGTGTAAGGCCTATTCCCACAGCAAGGTCTCTGTCCTGGGATAGTCAGGTCAATGCAGGTGATGGTTATTTGGGTCACAAAGGAGGCTTTGGTGTTGCACAGGTTCCTGGACCATAGACAGGTATCCTGAGAGGATATGGATAAAATGACTAAGGTTAAAGCTTCAGACAATGATTGAGGCCTGTCTGACTGGGAACCAAAGGATCCCAGCTGATTTTAAATGATTCAAATTTGAGAAAAGTGAGGACCAAAATACCCCAACTCAATGGTAAGGTTCAAAAACTATGCCATACCAGCTGGGACACCTAGTGAGGATGGGTACATGGAGGATGAAAATTTGTCTGGGTTTTGGGATGGAGGAGGAATTGTGGGTCTCAACACAGCCTACTGAGGGGAAAATTCATGAGCATGTGAGGAACCAGGTTTAAAGCTGGCTTGGCTGATGCACATGTTGTGACACCAAGGAAAGGCCCTGCCCTGTGCTGGTGGCCTGCAATCATATGTCCTGGTCTCATCATACTGGACTGGCCTACAGAACCTGGTTCCTCAGCTCTGCTTTGTGTTGTGTTCAGGGAAAGCCATGTATGTGACTAGAGCTCTCCCCTTGCTGGTCTAGTGCCCATGGTGTGCATAGCCATCTAGACTGGGAGAATGGGAACATGGCCTATGAAGGCAGTTCTAGGATCCTCACTTTGCTGGAATGGATCACAGGATTTTGGGGATCTGTGAGAGGTGGGCCTATGGCACTGTGAGAAGCTGTGGACATGTGGCACTCACTGCTCATGGCTTAAATGAGCAAAATTCATTTTGTGAACAAAAATGGAAATGATTTTACTGTCTGTGTTCACTAGAACACGAGAAATTTTGCTAAATGGTCTCAGCATGAGGAGGGTTAAAACCTACTCTATTATGGTCATCAGACAGTATGTAGGTCAGGGCCTGAATTACTCTCCATGAATGGAAAGTGTAAGACCTATGCCCACAGCAAGGTCTCTGTCCTAGTGAATGAGGTCAATGATGGTGGATGGTTATTTGTTGGAAAGCAAGATGCTGGATCAGTCTCATTGATTGTCTAGTGTGCAGAGTGCAAGATACCAGCTAATCATAGGCATATAAAGATTGGTCAGTTTTGTAGGAGTCTCTCAGTCTGCTGTGGTAGTGTGCTGATTGCTGTTTTCTATGCCTGGGAATATGAAGGGCAGGGTCATGCTGTGTTCAGGAGCACTTACCTGGCTCATTTGGTTGACAAGCTATGAGAACCAGAATAGACCTGGGACTTTTAGGCCAAACAGGTGGGTGAACATCTGGATCACTCTTCAGGTTAGGCAGATGCCAGATACATGGCCATGCTGAGGTTAGTGTATATGGCTAATTGTGGTAGCTGATTATTTGGGGTCCATCACCAGGTCTTTTTTGTTGGTTAGCATTTGCTTGGTTCCTGTGAAATTATTTTTCCAGTATCTGCCAGACAGTTTCCTAGTTTTCTGTCTTAACACTCCTGTGTAGGAATAGAATTTTCTAGTTGTTCCTGCTTTGTATGTTTTTCAACTATAAATTGTTGACCGAAGGATATCTTTCATTTCCATGTTTTTCCCTGCATTGTCTGGTCTAACAATGAAAGACACATTTCAGCTGTGTGTCTTTGCTATTACAAAGTTTCCTTGGACATAATGATTACCTGTTTGGTGTTTAATGGTTCCTCTGTCATGTTTTTCATAGGCATTGCTGGTCTGATCTCCATGACCCCTTCATCTCTTTTTTACCCTATTTTTAAAGAAAAAGGTTTCCATGTGATGTTTTCCACATTAAGAGCTGTATTAATCATGAAAGATAGTCTCTGCATTTTACTATTCCAGCTCTTTCTGCTTTGATCATTAAAAAAGTGTTCTGTAGCCAGCTTTTATCTGCTCTGGCCAGGAAGTAAATCTCTAAACTCAGCCACTTCCAAAGAGGTCACGTCATGTAGGTTCCAAAGGAAGTTTACCATTTCTGTATCTTCACCATCATTATTTATTCTAGTCAGGAAGGAATTATTGTATTTATATGTCTTCCTTGGCTGTATTCATTTTGGCTGCACAACAATCTTCAATATTTATGTCTTCTCAAGTTATAGCTGACTTCAAATAATAATATCTACTCCATATTCTTGTCTTTCCCAGATATATTTTTCTGATACCTATGGAAATCTTCAATATCCACATCTTTCAATGCCATATTTTTTGAATGTTCCCTTACCACAGCAATAACTATTTGGTGATGAAAAGCAGCTACCATTTTCCTATCTGCACCATGAAATATATTCTGCATGTTATATTTTCTACCATAGATAGTATTGTTAGGAAATAAGCCTTCTATCTCATGTCTTTACTAACCACAGCTCCTTGGTGCATTTTTCATATCAATTTATTACTCAAAATGAGTATCCATAAGAGATAGAATCCAATCCTCAGTCTTGTATAATCATTAAAAATTCTAGTTGCAAAAAGAACATGACTTGTTCACTCATACGGGTTTTAAAAATTATGTTATAATTTTCCATGCCTATATGTTTCTAACTCACAACTACTCTGGCAATAAAGTGCATTCTCTGCAGTCACATCCTCCCTGTTGCTGCTTTAGTACTGGAATAAGTCATCTATCACTATGTCTTTCCCTAGATATAGATGCTGTTGACAAGAAAGTGATGCTCAACTTCTATGTTGTGTCATTCAGTGCAGGGCTGTAGCTGTGAAATGCCTTCCAAATCTATTTCATCATGAGCTAAAGTTGATTGGTAAAACAAGAAGTTTTCCATTACCATATCTTCCCAGTTTATATCCACTCTCCTTAAGGAATTTTTCCTGCTTCTCCTCTTCCATAGGCTCAACAAAGTTGGTGAGAAAAAAGTTTCCGTCTCTGGCCAAGAAATAAGTTCTTCATTTTCATGCTTTTCTCATGTGCATCTACTTTGATAATGTAAAAAGCCATTCCTTGCTCGTGCCTTTCAAAGGCTCTCTGCTCTGGTTATGAGCTTGACCTTTGAATGCTGTATGCTATAGTTCCTTCCATAAAAAAACCATATACCTTTTTGTATCCCCAAAACTACAGCTGTCTTTGTTACAGAATTGGTTTTTTTCCCCTGTTATCATAGCTTTTCAAATCATGGCAGCTTTGATCATGAGAGCAGACTTCCCACAGAACAGTCCTTGCTGTTTACGATTTAGGAAAACTTCTTACTCCGTTCCTGTTCAGTCATATTTATTTTTGTCACATTCTAGTTTTGGTTTCCTCAGTTTCTGCATCCATAGCTACTTTGTCAAGTAAACAATGATTTTAAATCTAGGATTTCTCCTGTTAAATTTGCTGTCAGTGTGTCTGTTTTGGTGACCACAGAAAGTTTTCTCTTCCCTCTCTGGCCATTTATGCTCTGATCACTGAAGATTTTTTGATTGTGTATCTTATATGACCATAGCAGCTCTTTGTGTGTTTGTACTGAGATATTATCTCATCAGTCAGGGTGGTCTTGAACTCACTATCCTACTACAGTGCTAGCTAGCAGCTCTTTGATACATGTATCTGAGCTTTATGACATTCACATAATAAATAAATCTCTACAGCAAGATGAATTAATAGATATATTATCTTGCATATCTGCTTTTTTGTGATGAAAGCAGCTAAAATCCACTTATTTCATAAAAAACTAAATACAATATGGTCTTATTAACTCTAGTACTTATGCTGCCATACATAAAGTCTCTGTACTTGCTCCTCCTACACATCTTCTACCTCAGGATTCAATTAGAACAGTTCTCACCACTTCAGTACAGTGAAGGTTTCCTTGTAGTGAAAGTGCAATTCTATCCTGCTGCTTCCCACTTTTCTAGCTTCACCCATGGCTTGAGAGAATATAGAGAAACATAAAGAATACACTAATTGGAACAAAGTTCTAGGCAAGGACAGCCAAGTAGATGAACCCACTTTGTTCTCTTCTGTGGGGTTTTGCATTTCTACCTATGCCTATTTATATGTATGTATCCCCTTTTCATGCTGTATGTTTTGGCTTTTTACTCTGTATCCTGACTGTATTCAAGCCGAGAAGAGGACTGCAACTGTAGCATGGAGAACATATTGTAATTATGGTAAGACAATGGCCAATTCAGGAACTATTCTCTAAAAGGTGAAGAGATTGCAGAAACAATCATCAAACCCCCCTTAAAATATCAGGAATTCATTAGAGTACAGTGAGGCTTTCTGGCGGCAAAGCCAATGACTGCCTAGGATAAAGGATCTGGGGATGTCTGTCTGTCTCAACCCAGCCCCCTCATCAGACCAAACCTACCAAGAAAACTGAGGCTTATACCTCGTAAAAAGTCACCTGTGGCTGAAATACTCTTTTCATATGAATACTATGAGTGCTCACCTTGGTGGTATACTCCTGTCATCTTAGCACTAAAAAGACCAAAGCAATAGGACTACAGCCCAGTGTGGGTTGCATGATAAGAATCTGTCTAAAAATGACTAATATGTATTACTTTTACTCATACTTGCTCTTTTTTCTTTAAAATATCCCTGGATCTCTGAACTCCACTTCACTCAACATTATGTCGTCTTATACTCTGAGAAACATCTTGGGACATTTGTACCTGGATTTCCTTCAGGCTTGATGTTTGGTATTCCTTATAGACCTCCACACCATAATTACAGGTAAGTAGTTTTCGTGACTTCTACCAAACTGTCTAGCCTGTCTTTTTGCCTAAAATACCTACCAAAAAAGCATGGATATACTGCACAAAGCAGGGATAATACTAACCTAAATGTGGAAATACACACTTATTGCCAGATCAAAGAGAGCTAGAACCAATCCATCTTCTCCATTAGCTTCTTGTAAACCCACTACAATACTTTCAATGTCTAGCTCTAGCTCACAGGAAAGAAAACTGGGATATCCTATGGACTGGCATCTTTATTAAGTACTACAAATACTATGCAGTTGAAAATATGTGGGTATTAATCTCTATTACTTGGAACTATTGGCAATTGTTAGCTTCTGGGAGAGGAAAGGACAGGTTTCTTTTAGGACTGGAGCCCCTGATAAGTTGACCATGATCCATCGGAAGACCTCATATCCGAAACTACTTGAGTAGCATAAGCTGGTCTTGAGGTGCTTTTGAAAAGACAAAAAGTCAGGTGGAGAGAAAATGTGTGGGAATAGTTCTGGGAGGCAATAAATATTCGGGTAATATGGGAATAGTTGGGGGAGGGATAAATGTGTGGGTATGTGTGGGAATAATTAGGGGAGGAGGGATAGATGTGATCAAAGTCTCAAAGAACTAGTAAAACTCAAATTCATAAAGTGCCTCTGAAAAGCTGGTATTTCTAGAAACTTGATGACTGAAGGAGGTGTTTATTTAGAGACGTGGTCCTGCTTATTCTATAGTATGTGGGAAGATATTTTCTCAATTGGAGTGAAATAATTATTTTTGGCTTATGACTGCCATATCATAGCACTTGTTTGTTTCTATCAGGTGATTTTAACCAGAAATGCCGCCCATTAGCTCTGTCAAGAGGAACAATATTCAACATGCCACCACACTGGAAAAACTTGCCTAGGATCTGGCAACAAGCTGAAGTCCCAAGACCATCTGGACATCAAGAGTCATTTCTTCATATTTCCATAAATGCTAGTTTGGTTGTGCTTGTAATCCATGCTACTTGGGAGACTTGAGTCAAAGAAACAAGTTGACCATCCTGAACAACACAGTATAACCTTTTCTCAAATCAAAACCAACCAAACTCCAGAAAAGATATTCATAAACTTTCTAGTGAGCTTGCTGAGGAAAAGGATTGTATTGCTAAATGTTAAGGGATAATGCCATTAATATTTTATGTTAATGGTATTTTATTTTTTAAGCCATCAAAATACTCATTCTTAATAACACGCATTCTTGAGTGAACTTTCGTAATGGGTGAAATACTTATATGTATGTGCGTGATGAGATAATATTTGTGCCATTTTAGACTGATATTGTTATTTGTAGTATACTGATGGTTCAGTGTATATCTTTTCCGTTAAGTTATGTAAGATTGGTGGATTAGAATTTACAAATAAAATAGTGGATTAAACACTATATCTGAGCCAGTGAGTAAAAAAAAATGTTATGGTAAAAGCATAATAAATCCTATTTATGTACAAGAAAGACTAAAAAACTAAAAAGGCAAAGTCTAAACTTCTCTACAATGAAGGAGCCAGGTCCAGCAGAAATCAGTTGTGGTACTACTCCTACTAACTGTAGCTGCCAGCCATGTATTCTCACCATGAAAGTGCAGGAGAGAAGGCCTGGGCTGTGTAAACTCAACTGAATGGGTAAAAATCCCTTATATAAAACAGGCTGTGAGTAGTGGAAATGTGGTTTGACAACCTAAAGATCACTACACATTAATAGAAGGAACAATTTGTCAAGGATATTAGAATGTTATCAATTTTTTGCACCAAATATTAGATCCAGTCAGTGAGAAATTTCAATACTCTTATCTTTAGACACATTTCAAACTAAAAATCTACAAAGAAATGGCGTGAGTAAATAACACCATAGAGCAGTCGCATTTTACAGATACTTACAAAGTATTCCATCCAACTAATAGAAACTACGCATTAATCTCAGCAGCACAGGGGCCTTTATCTAAAACTATTCAGGAACAAAGCAAAGATCGAATTGCTTACATTTTATCAGATAATGGTATAATAAAAGAAGTTACAAAAATATTTGGTACTGAACAATATATTTCTGAATTCACAGTAGACTCTAATAAAATCCAGAGAGACTTTAGGGGATACTTTATTACCTTACATTTTTAAAAAGCTAGAAAATTGGGACTGGAGATGTAGATCTATGGTAGACTGCTTGTTTGGCATGTTCAAAACCCTAAATTTGATTCCTAGCACTGTTAAAAAAATGTTAGAAAACTTAAAAGAAATGGATATATTCCTGAACCCATGTGACCTGCCAACATGAATTCAAGGAAATACGAACAACTTCAAGAAATGCAAAATAAGCAATGATTTTGTAGTCTTTCCACATAGAAAGTCAGGCGATGCTGGGTGGTACTGGTGCATGTCTTTAATCCCAGCACTTGAGAGGCAGAGACAGGAGGAGTTCTATGAGTTCAAGGCCAGTCCCTGGTCTACACAGCAAGTTTCAGGACAGGCTCCAAAAGCTACAGAGAAAACCTGTCTTGAAAGACTAAAAGAAAAAGAAAAAAAGAAAGAGAGAGAGAAAGAAAAGAAAAGAAAAGAAAAGAAAAGAAAAAGAGGAAAGGAAAGACAGGGCTGAATGGATTCACTATTGAATTCTAATAAATCTTTAAGGAAGTCTAGCATCAGTACTTCTTAAACAATCTCATAAAAAGAAGTGGAGGGGACACCATTAAACTTATCTAAGAAATTCCATGTTCCCATAATGTGAATACTGTTAACATTATTGTTATTCATTTTAAAGCATCAAAGATGTTTTATACATACGTTAAATTCATCACTGACCCTAAAAATGAAGTGACTGGAAAAAAATGGATTAAACATCAAACTTCATTGTTGTGTGACTTTTCCTGGGGTGGGGTGGGGATAAAGAAATGACTATTCATTCCACATAGGGTATCCCTTAGAAACTCAAAGCCTGACTCCACCTAAGTTCAGTTTGGTATATCAATGGATTTATTGGAGTTACTTACAGGAACATGGGTGATTGGGCAGCTGCATCATCAACAAAGTCCAATCCCAACATGAGTCACCACTGCATGGGTTATTTGTGCAGCTGATTTCACTGAAGAATCCACTCTAGCATGTGTGACCACTCACAGATGCTTCATAACTGGAGTTTTGCCTTTAGTCATCCTTCCCCTTCCTATATTCTCTAGAACTTCCCAAGACCACATATAGGCAAGAGGTATGGAATAGTGGGTTAAGGTGTAGTTACCTTCCTTCTAAGAGTTAATGCTAACAATACAATTATAATTATTATTAACCTAGCTATTAATATGTTAGTTTGATTATTTTATTACTATGACTGTGGAGTTAAAGTATTCGATAGGTCGTCACAACAATCTAGGCTTTATGAAGGTGATAGTCATGTTGTACTTGTAGAAAACAGCTGTACCCTCTCCTCTATTGCTTAGGGGCTTAACTGGGGTCATCCTTGTGGATTCTTGGGAAATTCTCTAGGGCCAGGTTTCTTGCTAGGCCCATAATGGCTCCCTCAACCAAAATATCTCTTTCCTTGATCTCGTCTCTGTCCTTCCTCCATCTCATGTATCCTTTTCCCTCAAGTTCTCCTCCCCTCCCCTTCTCCCCTCCTCTTCCTTTTCTGCTTTCTCTTCTCCCCCCACCCTCATGCTCCCAATTTTGTCAGGCAGTCTTATCTATTTCTCCTTTGCAGGTTGATTTATGTGTATTTTTCTTAGGGTTCACCTTGTTACTTAGCTTCTCTAGGATCTGGCCTTGCCCTGTAGTCAGACTGATGAATATGTTAAATGTCACCATAGAACCTTCATCGAGCAACTGACAGAAACAGAGGCAGAGACCCACAGTGGGGCTGTGAGCTGAGCTCCCAAAGTCCAGTTGAAGAGTAGGAGGAATGAGAATATGAGCAAAGAGGTCAAGACCATAATGGGGACACCCACTGAAGCAGTTTACCTGAGCTAATGGAAGCTCACCAACTTCAGTCAGACACAGAAGGAACCAACATAGCACTAAACTAGACCCTCTGAATGTGGGTGACAGTTATATGGCTGGGGCAGACTGTGGGACCACTGGCAGTGGCACCAGGATTTATCCCTACTGTTTGTACTGGCTTTTTGGGAATTCATTCTCTTTGGATGGATACCTTACTCAGCCTAGATATATTAGGGAGAGCCTTGGACCTTCCCCAAAGCAATGTGCCTTACCCTCTCTGAGGAGTGGATGGGGTTGGAGTGGGAGTAAGGTGGAAGGAATGGGAGGAGGGGAGAGAGTGGGAACTGGGATTGATATGTAAAATGAAAAAAAAGATAACTTGTTTTCTTTTTAAAAAAATAAGATAAATTATAAGAAAAGAAAACAGATATACCATAACACATGTATTGAGATATAATTGACAAATAAAAGTTGTAAATATTTAGTGTGGTGTTCAATTTCTTTTATACTACTAAGGATGGAACCCAGGGCCTCATCAATGCTAAGGGATTTGTCTATCACTGAACCATAGCCAGACCTTAATGCAATGTTTTGATATACATATGCATAGTGGAATAATGTAATCAAGCTAATTAACATATGTATCACTTCACATAGTTTCCATTTTGGTGGGAAAAATAAGAAACTCACTTTAGACACAACGGTGAAATAGATTTTAAAAAATCAAAACCCTACAAATTATATTCACTATTACTGCAAAACCAGATCTCAACAATGTCAGCAGTATCTCTCTCTCTGGATGCCCCTTAGCTCCTTGGTCCTTGTGATCACTGTTGAAAGAATTCAGACGAGATTGACAGAGTACAGTGTAGAAGATAGGCAGTTTATTACACTGTAGAAATACCTCCCAAAGGATCAGAGCAGGTGGCTAAAGAAATCATTGCAGAGCAGAGGGCATTCTCAAAAGGGTGAAAGTAGACAGTTGCCAAAGGGGCCATTGTAGAGCAAAGTCCAGTATCAAGAGGTAAAGATGGCCAAAGGCCAAAGGGGACATTGCAGAAGAGAGTGGAATCTCAGCAGGTGAAAGTGAACAATGTCTTTACACTATGTCTATGTACCTAGAACAAACAGCTTATCCTAAGGGACTTTATCTTTTCCAAGTGATTGACAGGCTTTTTGCATTAACTCTTACAGGAGGGATCATGGGTATGTTGTTGTATGACACTTTTCCTGGAGAAAATTGGACAAATACCCACTTATGCCACACAGGGAACCAACAACAGATCAAACTAAGGATACCTCCTAAGTTCAACATGGTGAACCAATGAATTGTATCAGAGTTACAGCAAAGAGGTGACATGAAGGCTGCTGTATCACCAAAAGCCCATCCATGGATGATAACTCACTAAAGCTGGGAATCTGAAATACACTGCACAACTTGAAGGCAGCTCCATAGTTTAGAGAGTGTCACTTCCAGGAAGCTCTTCTGGTCTGAGAGCATTCCAGCAGTCCTTGCTGCTCATATATGCTTGGGGAAGTGGGGGCCTAGTGCATCTGTTCAGATTCATGGACTTCCCAAAAATTTGGAACTGTTTACTTATTTGGTCTTAACCAGCTTCCCTGCAGGATAGAATGCTTTATTAGAATGCTTCATGCCCCTTTGGAACATCTTCACTCTTTTTTTTTTGTTTGTTTTGTTTTTTGGTTTTTCAAGACAGAGTTTATCTGTAGCTTTGGAGCCTGTCTTGGAACTCACTTTTGTAGACCAGGCTGGCTTCGATCTCACAGAGATCCGCCTCTCTCTGCCTCCTGAGTGCTGGGCTTAAAGGTGTGCGCCACACCGCCTGGCTTACATCCTCTCTCTTAATGAACTTCTCTCCAAGATCGAATATTTTACCTTGGAGGAAATTGCTTCACAAACCATGCCTTTATTTTTATATCATAAAGGCTCCTGCTAAATAATAACTTTAAAAGTTTTAGAGTTCTAGAACCTAGGTTTATATTATTACCCATTATGTTATGGGTACTTTAGGATGCGTGTGTCCTCCCAAGGCCAAAACTATGTATGACTCAAGTCTCACGTTTCTGACTTAAAAAAAAAAAAACACTTTGCCTTTACCACTAATACTCCATTGTGCAAATGTACCACATTTTCTTTATCCATTCTTTGATTGAGGAGCATCTAGGTTGTTTCCAGGTCCTGGCTATTATAAATAAAGTGGCTATGAGAATAGCTGGGCAAATGTCCTTGTGGTATGATTGTGCGTCCTTTGGGTATATGCCCAAGATTGGTATTGCTAGACCCTGAGGTAGATTGATTGCCAATTTTCGGAGAAACCACTATACTGATTTCCAAAGTGGCTGTACCTTGCACTCCTACCAGCAATGAAAGAGTGTTTCCCTTACTCCATGTCCTCTCCAGCATAAACTATCATCAGTATTTTTGATCTTGGTCATTCTGATAGGTGTAAGATGGCATCTTGGAGTGATTTTGATTTGCATTTCCCTGATGGCTAAGGATGTTGAACAATTCCTTAAAGGTCTTCTGGCCCTTTGAATTTCTCCTATTGAGAATTCTCTGTTTAGATCCTTTTTTTATTGAAAAAAATTTCTGCCTCCTCCCAGCCTCCCATTTCCCTCCCTCTCCCCCCACTCCTCTCTCCCTCCCTCTCCAGTCCGAAGAGCAATCAGGGTTCCCTGCCCTGTGGAAAGTCCAAGGTACTTCCCCCTCCATCCAGGTCTAGGAAGATGAGCATCCAAACTGGCTAGGCTCCCATGAAGCCAGAACATGAAGTAGGATCAAAACCCAGTGCCATTGTCCTTGGCTTCTCATCAGCCCTCATTGTCTGCCATGTTTCTAGCCATAAATAAAGGACATTGAGTCTATAATTTGTGATCCTAAAGAAGCTAAATAAGAAGGTGAATCCAAAGAAAAACATACAGTTATCCTCCTGGATATGGGAAGTAGACAAGATTACCGGGCAAAAATTTGGGATCTTGGTGGTAGGGTGGGATGGGGGTAAGGGGAGATAGAGAGAGAAAAGTGAGAAGGGTAGGATGGGGAGAACTTGGGGAAATGGGATGATTGGGATAAAGGAAGGGTGGATGTGGGAGCAGGGAAGTATATATCTTAATTAAGGGAGCCATCTTAGGGTTGGCAAGAGACTTGAACCTAGAGTGGCTCCCAGGAGCCCGAGGCTATGTCCCCAGTTAGTTCCTTGGGCAGCTGAGGATAGGGAACCTGAAATGACCGTATCCTATAGCCATACTGATGAATATCTTGCATATCACCATAGAACCTTCATCTGGCGATGGATGGAGATAGAGACAGAGACCCACATTGGAGCACCAGAATGAGCTCCCAAGGTCCCAATGAGGAGCAGAAGGAGTGAGAACATGAGCAAAGAAGTCGGGACCACAAGGGGTGCACCCACCCACTGAGACAGTGGGGCTGATCTATTGGGAGCTCACCAAGGCCAGCTGGACTGGGACTGTAAAAACATGGGATAAAACCAGATTCTCTGTTTAGATCTTTATCCCATTTTTTTTAAATTGGATTACTTGGTACCTTAGTTAGTGTCTAGTTACTTGAGTTCTTTATATATTTTGGAGATCTGCCCTCTGTCAGATGTGGGGTTGGTGAAGATCTTTTTCCATTCTGTAGGCTGCCATTTTGTCTTATTGACCGAGTTCTTTGCCTTATAGAAGCTGTGCTACTGGTGTGATATTTAGGAAGTGGTCTCCTGCGTCCATGCATTCAAGGCCACTTCCCACTTTCTCTTCTATCAGGCTTAGTGTAACTGGATTGATATTGAGATATTTGATCCATTTGTACTTGAGTTTTGTGCCTGGGGAAAGATATGGATCTAATTTCATTCTTCTACTTGTCAACATCCAGTTGTGCCAGCACCATAAATTTG